AATTCTTAGAGAATAAAATATTTGGAGAGGTTTTATTTTGAGAAATAAATAAGGTTCAGGATAAATAGCTCAGGTTCAGCAAGTTTTGAGGTATTTACCTTTTTTTTTTCTGGGAAATACTGATTAAAGCTGGCTTTCTACTAGGAAAGACTGATTCAACTAAATTGGAAGGATTCGTGAAAGTGTAGTGGTTTTGTAGATATTTGTAATAAATAATGTCAACATGTTGCAGTGTAATCAAACTGTTGCATTTAAATCATGTTTTCCTTCCAATATACTTCAGCTCAATTACTTCTGTGGGCTGACTTGATGTAGAAGGTAGAAGAATCTTTCTACATTTTAGGGGATCTGTTATTTCTTAACCTTATGTCTGCTTACCCATTAGCATCAATTAAGCAAGAACAGTATCCAGAGAAAGACAAAATTATTTTAAGGTGTCTGGGAAAAAAAAAAAACAACATGGATTTCTCATCATGATTTGTGGAAATAAATTACTTTAAAGCAGCATTACGTATATTCCTGCAGAAGATTACTTTTAATGATAAACTGCATCCAACTCAGATGAAATAATTCTCTCAGCTAATATTGATTTAGGATTAGAGTGGAAAAAATAGATTTCCCTTTCTCGTGTTAAACCAATTCCGAATTAAGATTTCAATTGAAAGGTTAGAAAGAGGTCTCAAAAATAAATCACTTTGGAAGTGCCTCTCCTTGTCTGTCTAATAAACATCAAGCTCTAAAAAAATGATGCTCTGAAATGAAACTAAACAAAAAGTCAGGTTCAGAAAGGAGCTTGGCCAAAGAGGCTGCAAGAAGTTTGATTCCACAGCCACTTAGTGAGGGGAACAAAGTACTTGCAAATAATGCAGATGCAGATGAGGCTGGAGATGACACAACCCAGTCTGCTGGCCCAGAAGGCGTTGCTGAGGCTGCCCTGAAATTAGAGGGGGAAAAGGAGAAATAACCAGGTTGCTCCACAGGAAAGGTGCTCCACCGCTGGGCATAAATAAAGCCAGGAGCTGAATTTTTTTGCTTAGGTATATAAAGCAAATCAGTTAAGGGACATGAGTTAACCAGCTCATTTTTAAAGCACGACTTAGTGGAAAGACTGCAGACAGTGATTAAATTAGTTTTAAGTGCCTTACACTAAGAAGTACACTGTTAAAGAACTAGATAACTAGGCAATTTCCTATTGTATTTTTAATTAAAGATAGTATTTTGAGCTTGGAAATGAAGCATGAGGAAAGTTAATTATTAGTGCTTTTCAGTATCATCTGCTGAGCGCAATGCTATTCTGACTTAAAAGCCTCATATAAGCATTCAAAGTAATCCTTCACACATGTAATAGATACAACTATTTAATAAAAAATGAATGAGAAGCAACTCATACCCTGCTGTGGAATAGTTATTAGTTTCTAGTATAAGACATGAATTTGCATCTGCTGAAGAAATGCATTTAAATGGTAAAGAATGGTTGATGACTGATAGTTACATTTCATGTGTTAAAGCAAAAATATTTATACCGCTTTTTAAGTTCTCAAGTAAATAGCTGTCATCATGCCAGGCTGTAAAAAAGCTGATTTCCATGTCTTTATGGTGTGTAATGATGAATGGAAACACACTAACAAGCCAGGTTTGTTTGTTTGTTTAATACTTTTCTCAGTACATTTTGATCTCCAAGTACTTGCTCTTTGAGGGGATGTGGATGCAGGATTTCAATAAATGGGAAAATATCTCAGTAAAGTCTTGATCCCACCCATGCCACTGATGTACTTTTGGGAGGTTTCAGTGCAACTCGTGTTCTGTTTATTGGGCTTTCCATGATACCCACCTTTTTGTCTTTCAGGATTAAAAAAAAAAAATGTTGGCAGTCCTACAATAAGGAATAAAACTGGCACTGGCAAACTAACTTTGTTCCTTCAGGAAATAAGGACTCCTGAGGCAGGAGGGCAGCTGCTTGCACTGATACGATGCTCCCTACAGTGCTGGCCAACATTGTCTCCTCTTTCCTTGTACACTCCCCCTCCTTTTTGTGCCTGAGTCCATCTGTTGTCTCTTGTCTGACACTTTAGATGCCAAGTTCCCTAAGATTTCATTTGGAAGCCGTCTTTGGGCTTTATATTTTAGGTGACTCCTGACCGTGAAATTCAGGTCCGTAATTTGGGCTACTCTGCTAGTGTTGCTGTCTCTGTATCTGCTAAAATGAATACTGATATTAATACTAATATCTTGGTATTTCCTCTAACGCTGTTAATTAGTAATTTAAAGTGAGCTTTTGATTGAGCTTTATGTAGTAGTTACAACCCACAAAACATCAGGAGGTATTTGAATGAAAATGGAACTTTTACTATTATTCCAGCATTGATCTTAACAGCCGTGTACATAAGAAACTTAACAAATAAGTCATAAACAAGGGAATGAAAACAAATATAAAACTGGCTACACATGTGTACACAAAGTGCTTACTGCTGAAAATGAAACACCTTAAAACCCAAATGGTGTTGCTTTTACTCAGGTTACTTGAAAAGTCCCCAGCTGTTGATTAAGTGATGCTTTTTTTCTGCTCTTAATTTTGGGCTATTTCAGTCTGTGCCCTAACACTTGCCCTTTCAGCTATGACCTTGAGCTGCTTTTTTGGTATTTGTGTGAAACATGAGTGATGGGTGATACATTGCACTTTTATCACATTCTGAGGTACTATCCAGAATAAGAACTATAGATTCAATTGAGGAACAAAGCTTTTTTTTGATTAAAATATGTGTCCTCTCAGATTTGTATTTTAGATTTTTTAATTGTTTTATAAAATGCATACAGAAAAACAATTAAGTCTAAAAAAAAGATGCTTTTTGTCATTGATATAGGAAAAGGATGAACTAATTTGCACTTATAAATTGTATTTGTCTGGAACAGCTGTACATGTTTGCCTTTTCAAGGTATGGCACAACAGGTAAGAACAGAAGTCCTTCAGTCCCTGGCAGATGTACTATTTATGTAGCACGTGCCAGTTCATTATCCTCTACTGAGACATGCAGTTTGTTTTTAAAAAAGAAAAATAAATCAGAAAAAATGGTTTTGAGGTTCAGAGCACATATTAGAACTGTAGAAACTCTGCTCCCTAAGTCACAAAAATAACTTATTTTTAGAATCATCTCCAGTTTTCTCGAGGCCTTCAGTTAAAGCAGCATCTGAGACTGGAGCTGTGCCCCTGCATCCTGATGGCAATTCTTCCATTACTTGTGATCCCCTCCAAGAGAAAAGACAGCAAGATCATTGCGGTGTTGTTACAAAACCGGGAGGGTAGAGCCAGAATTCTTGTGTGTACTCAAGCAGTCAAATCTCCCCATGATGTCCCGAGGCTCAGTCTGCCTGCTCTGCAGTTTCTGTCCCTTTGTTTTCTCACCTGTTGTTTCTCATCGCTGTTCATTTTTGTTGGGTTTGACGTGGTATCTGTGACCAGGTTTTTATTTATAGGTACCTGTTTGCCACTTCCCTTTCCACTTCTCCTCTGTCATGTTCTTTTAAGCATCAGATCAAATACGTGTAGGGCTGTCCTGGCTGCTCCAATAGCAGAGAGTGGTAATTACATCAAAATATGACAAAGCCATAAACCCCAGCTGATTTCCTGTCTACTTCACACTCAATAGAATTAAAATGTTACATGAGCAAACATCCCCAAAAACTGATGCTTTGATGATAGTTTAGTGTATTTCACACTAAAGCATTTGTTGTTTAATCAAAAGCCTTTGTGAGTCAGAAAACAACTTTACACCTAACTAGCAAAGGTGCGTTAAGAAAAAAAAAAAAGCAAACGAAAATATTTACAAACCTTTTACTATCATCAAAATGCACAGAAAGCGGAAAACGTTACAGGCACATGCAGTCGGCTGAGTAGAAGTGTTACTCGATCTTCCCCTCCATTGTTTGAAAGGGAGACTGCTCCGAGGTGAGGGTGTTTTGTGGCCCATGATGACAGTCTGCTGCCATTGTTCGTGGGATGTGATACTTTCTGCCAAGTGTCTCATTACCAGGAGGGGACGTGGTGTGTTCCACTCGGTCAAAGCAGTTCATTAAACTGCTGCTGAGCGTCACCTCTTCCTTTGGAACAGGTCTGGGCTGCTCCTGGTTTGGAACAGAAAGAGAAAATACAAGCACGAGTTAATTTTTTTTTTTTTTAAGCTTTGGAAAAATTTTATTAGAATATTTGCGTCTCTGAATGGTTTTTTTCCTTACAGTGGCTCGATCTGCTTTCATATAATTAATAGGTGCCTTTTCCGTTGTTCATTCTGGGAGGAGAGTCTCTAATGGGGTAATTTAAAGCTTTAGAAGATATTTTTAACTGGTGTTTCATTAATGATGTGGGGGGAGAAATGAGGATGTCTGCTTTTAAAAAGTAGGAAAACACGTGGCTAAGTTTCTGATGTATTAAACTCCCAAGGGAGGGTGTGCATGGACATTTTCAATCCACGTGCAAACTGACTCGGGTAAAACAGCTCCTCGGGAGGGATTTGTGCCACAGGCAGATTAGTGACAGGCCCTCACACCAGTGCAACAAAAGGGGGTTCTTCTGTTCGGTTTGGGGTTTGTTTTTTAACGTGGTTGGGCTTTATTATCTGCTGGCAGCAAAGCCCTGGCTCCGTCCTCAAGTGCTTCCACGGCGAGGTTGGAGGGACCCAGGTAACGAGGTCATCTTCCACTTAATTCCAAAATAGGCTTGGATGTGATTCAGGGCTTGCTGCAGCTCAGCCGGGCTCCAGGGTCCGTGGGGGAGCGTGAGATGTTCTCCATTAAGATAAAACTCCTCTTTGCCACAGCAAACTGAACTGGGAATCAGTTAATCAGACTATTTACTTCACAGGCTTCGGAAGACGTCGCAAAAGCACAACCCCCGAAATCTTTATTGGTGTAGATGGTTTCCTGGAGTCAGCAGACCTTGCTAATAAGCAACGACTCGCTTGAGTAATGCAGGATTGTGTTTTATATTCTGTAATTTGACTGCCAGCTTATGGTTAATGATGTTTATTTGTGGGAATGATGCGTTTCGGAAAGTGAGGTCAGCCGGAACATTTGTGGTCTTCATCTGTCTGCAGCCCTTGATCTTGCAGTGTATCAGCCACTAAAAAAAGAAGTGATTACTCAACTCTAAGAATGACATGGTTGTAATGTTAGTGTGTACTACCTTATGAATATTCTGAAATGTAGGGTGCAGAGATGATGCTTATTTCAAAACACCGGAAAAAAAAATAACAATATTTGCTATTAAAGATTTTACCAATTAGCACTATCTCACTGGAATTTTAGTTTGAAATACGTTTTCGTGGTTCGAAGTTTTTATGTAAAGTAAATACTTTTTTTCCAATGTCAGGATGTCACGAAACTGTTAATGGATTATCTTTTTTTTCATTGGTAGCCTCGGATGTTATCTTTCTCAGATGATATCAGATTCCCACCATTTTATGGTGTGGCGTTCTGATGTTGTAAAGCATATTTGTTGTACCTCAAAAGTAGAAACAGAAACAAAATACATACTGTATTTTTGTACACATTTAACATTGGTTAGTCCTAACAATCACTTCAAATTATTTTCCTCCTGAAAAGAGAGGATAAAAATGTAATTATTAAGCCTACTTACATGAAAGACACTCAGACACCGCAAAGACTAATGACTACATGAAAACAGCTATTTAGAAAGACTCTTGCAAGAAAATTTACAGTGTCAGGCTACAAATGAACATTATCATGACACATTTCCTGAAGATAGACCCTTCCTTGTGGATCTCCTAGGGTGCATGAGAAATTATCTACTTCTATGGCTCTTACAAAAAGAGGAAATCCAGACTGGAAGTGAGAATATAGACTGAAAAGCACAACGCCATGATACATTAGCATTTACGTGATCCAGAAAAGAGAGAGATTGCATTTCTTCAACTCTTTATGGTCCTCTTAAATACGAACAAGAACTCAGCAGAGTTTCAAACGCAGCAATGAGGCATCTGTCAAATCTACACCTATTGACATCATGTGAGCACAAGCATTTCACCGTATCCCTGAACAGGATCATCTGTGACGATTTACAGAGTGGCATTTTTTTAAATTACAGTTGTCCCAGTTGGCTGTTTCAACAACTGTGGCACTTAAAAGAACAGTAAGATTGAAAAGAAGCAATTATCTTAAAAAAAAAAAAAAAAAATAAAAAGGGAGAGAGAGAAAAGTTCCATAAATCCTAAATTGAAGTAGTAAATATTTATGTAATTTCAAGATAAATTCTTGATGGTTTTTCCACCTCCATGGTTTTTTTCAGCTGCCTGGTATAGAATTGTCACTCATCCATTAAAGGTTAGACTCGATGATCTTGGAGGCCTTTTCCAGTCTTAATGATTCTATGACTCTACAATGCAGTCATTCTGCCTTTCTGTGATGTGAAAAATTAGGGGATTAGTGGTTTAGTTTGGATGGGGTGTGCATTTCATCTCCAGTCAGCCGGCTTTTATCTACACGACAACCAAAAAGATTTTCAAGATTCCTTCTTACGTTTTCCAAGAATTACCATGTTAGTCAGCCTGTCATTATCTTTCTATACAAGACAAGTTAATTTCCCCAGAGTTACCATTAACTGGCAGATTTTGCAATCGCGATGTCAAGATGGCGTGGGAGGTTTCTTGGAACTGGGTTTTCGAGGCTGAGGGAGAAACCAGCAGAAAGACAGGCAATCAGAGGAATGTTTTTAGTCTGATTTTCTTCTTTGGAAGGGCCACAGCGGATGGCTCCTCATGCAAACCTCGGGAGATGCACAGGGAATGGTGGTGTCTTCCTGAAATGAGCGTTGGCAGGAGCATCCCCTGGCACAAAGCCCCACAAACCACCACCAGCCCATGGAAGGTGGGTTCTGTGCTTTGTAAATTAAACAGCAAACAACAAATAATTCCCTTTACCCCTCTAGCGCTTTTTGTTTGTTTGTTTGTTTTTTGTTTGTTGTAAAGTCCTGGATTAAAACTGAAAAAAAAAAAAAAGTGGAAATAAAAGGTGAAATTTGCGTTTGAACATCTGTGCTTATATTTGCAAACACTCGGTGTAAACTGTTCATTGAGGAAAGACAGCGCTTGTCAACTGACCTTCCAGTTGTTGCAGAAAGAGCAAAGTGTATGTTTGCTTTAAATTTGAAAGTAATTTTCCATTTACACCCAGCAACAGAAGGTTGGCTTTTTGGATATGTGTAGCAAACGTATCTGTGGGGAGGAGAGCTGGGGAACTTTGAACCGTGCTTATCTGAATATGACGGTAATCAATGGAAAATATAAATTTAAATTTTCCTGTTTTTAAAAAAGCACCTTTTATCAGTTTAACCCTTACCCCTTTATGTGTTTCAGCAGGAATTTTGATCCTGAAAAATTTTAATCCAAATGCCTACCACTGAGTGTTTGTTTCTCACAATACGAGTCATAATTCAGGGACAGTTACATCAATGAGAAAAATGCTTTAGATAAGGAATTCTTAAGATGAAAACATAGTTAACTTTGTCCAGTCTTATATCTGTTTTGGAAGGAGAAATACCGTAAGCATAAAATATTTCAGCCAATTGCTGTGAAAAACTGTAAAGTTATACTGTAATTTGAAATCCTACCACGAATTAATTCCCTGCTTAACAGATTGTTAAATACTGCAGGAAAGACTAAACACTATGGCCTGAAAGTTTGGGGTTTTTTTAAAGAAACATTGAAGTGTACCCATGCCCTGTTCCACCGTCCTTGTGTTGATCTGTGCTTGCTGCTCGTACCCTTCAGGTAGAAACACAGTCCAGCCGATATAAACAACTCATAAGCTGATACAAACAACCCGTGCTGGCTGTAAAAGAGTGTTTCGATGATATAGCTTACAGCAATTTGGTGAGTAAAACAAATTGTTCTAGCCAAAGCGTTTTTCGGTCTGTGTCTACGCTGGGGATTTTGATAACAAAAATAGCACAAAGTGTCACTGGCAGGTGTTCTGCCAAAAGCTTCTAGCCTGTGTTTGTCCTTAGATCGTCTCTTTCTGCTGCGTAATAGATTGCGACTGTTGGAAATGCCTTCTTCTAACCTCTGTTTCTTCCTTCCACTCGGAGCACTCACACAAAACTGCTGCTTATCCTCGGCAAAGGCACAGACACCAGGAGGAACAAGAGCCTGTGGAGGTGTGTGTTTCAATGCTGAACTGGAGAATTGAATCTAAATGACAGGGGCCTCCTTCCACTGAGTTACTTAAGCGCTTTGAAACAAAACACTCCCCCTCCAAACGGTATCAGTAGTCCACAGTGCGTACAGGTGTAACAGGAGTTTCCAAATTAACCCCTCAGATGCCTGACAGCACGAAGGTACTGCCAAGAGAAAATTAGGGCAAGGAACTGCTTACTGTTTTTCAAGTGAGAAAAAAAAAAAAATAATCACATGAGGGCTTCTCAGACAGTCATATTTAACCTCTGGTAGAAATGTTCATCAGAGCGTTTAAAACTCGCTGATACATCTGATGTTGTCTTGCCACGCATTGGGGGCAGTTAAAAACCCTTTTGTGGGTGAATGAATCCCTCAAAGGCACTGACTGATGGAGGAGGTTCAGCTCTTCAGCTCCTCTGTGGCACTGGCCAGCCCTGACTGCCATTTGGGCCCTAACTCTGATGAAACGTGAGCAACATTCCTTGAACAACAAGGAAGTCTGTAATGGGAACGGCTCCCAGCGAGCACAAATGATGGATCCTCCAAGAGATTCTGTGCTCCACAAAAGCAACTGAAGGAGTTTCGAAGAGATTTGAGAGTTTGATGACACACTGGTGATACTGCTGTTGCAAGCTGAGTGGAAGTCTAGGTTGATCTAATTAGCAAAGACTGGAATGTGAGGACAAAACTGACAGTGGTGACATGTTTTGGGAGGTGCTGTTGTTTAGCAAATGTGACCAACTCAAAAATTCCAGCGAGAGCCCAGTATAATAAGAGAGGTTAATGACCCCAAAATCACCCTTTATTTTCTAAACCTAAATTAAAATGTTTCTAGAAGTTGGCTAAAATTGTGCAAATGTATCCGTGGAACATTGGATTCATAATTTTGTCTATTTTTAGAGGATCAGTATCGCTCAAGTTTACAGCTGGGTTTGAATTGTTTTGGTTATTAAATGATAAGAAGTTGCATGTTGAAAAATGACAAAATTGCAAGAAATAGATCCTAAAAAACAGCTGTAAGAATTATGTTGAGACTAGTTAGTAGACCACAGTTTGGGGTGGTGTGCACCAATTTTAGTTTGCAGATAAAATGGAGACTGAATCAGCACACACTTAATTTATTAAGTAATTTTAGAGTTGGTATGGTGAAGTAATCAAAAATAAAGTTCATCATAATTTACTGTCTTTTGTAACAGATTATATGTTAATAAAATGTATAGGAATAATTCTGTAGGGTATTTTTTAGAAGCTTGATTAATATTTATAAAATTAGTAAGCAATATATATGATGAGCAGCTCTTGAGAGCTATAATTTGCTAACACTGACACCCACCCATTTTTCCTCACCCCTAAATTATATGTCTCATTACAAGACTGAGCATTGGTGCTGTTATGGTAGTGACCCCAATGTTAGGTTTTAGTATTTCTGTACAATAACTCCGTCTTCTCCGATTAATTAATTCCAATTCTGACTTCACATCCTAACAATCTTTATTACAAGGATTAGACCTAAATAAAGGGTAAAATCAAGCAGACGTGTTGAAAACACTGGAACAAGTAGTGAGAAAAAATAGCAGAGTACGTGTAGTTGTGCAAGTAAATAAAGAAATTCTTTGTTATTTTTGGCAAGAGGTGGAGAAGCATGTGATGTCCAGTTGTAGCTTTAGCCAAGGATTTATCTTGAGGCTAAATACTTTATAGGCAAACAGTAATTCCTTTTCGCCCCACATCAGCTGAAATACTATTTAGGGCCAAGAATGCTGTTTGCAGAAGTTGACCAGCCCTACAACCAACCACTAATATTTAAGTGATGTATAATATTAGGGGCATGTTGTTACCCAGGGTGTATCTTCTTGTTTCGTCAAGACTTGAGCAAGGCAAAAAGCTGGACTGTAACACAGGGTGCAAAATGGTCATTACACTTGCTCCGTCCTGTTAGCTCTATAGCTAGTGGTGTGTTTGATTGACTGGGCTAATGGGGCAGGGACTGCTCTCCAGGGAAGGATGTCAGATCAGATCCGGAAGGTTGGTGCTTCACAGTTATTTTTCAGGGGTGGGTAGGGGAGTTCTGTTCACCTTACAAAGCAAGAGCACTCACTGAAATGAATTTGGGAGCTCACGTGTTTGCTCTCACCTCATCATCTATCTGAGCTGCGGGTCTTGAGAGTCGGGCCTTTCCCCTGGCACCAGTTGCCTCCTCGCTATGTACTTTACGCGTCTGTGAATGCTGGCAACTGGCGAGGCGGGAAGAAGAGCTCACCATTTGGGGGTGTGATGGTTAGGATGGCCCTCACTGGGGGATTTACAGCGGAGCTCCCACACGGCTACCTTCCTCCGGGTAGTGACGGACCGGGGCGGGCAGAGGGGAGTTCGCGGTAGGAACATCTCAACTCGCTCTGGTAGATCTCTCCGGGGGGGACCGTCAGCCGGTGGCGAGGAGGCAGGCGATGGCCACGGTGACGGCCACACAGCTGCCCCGGCCCGCGGGTGCGGGCGGGCAGGAGAAGCGCCGGGGGTAGAGCCGGGTCCGTGCGCTGACAGAGGCTCGGGGCGGCGCTCGGCGGGGCCGGGCGGGGGCGCTGCCGCCGGGCCGGGCCGGGCCGGGCCGGGCGGGCGGAGCGGGCGGGCTGGCGGCGGGAGCTCCCCGCAGGAGCGCCCCGGGGCTGGGCGGGGAGCGCCGGAGCGGGGCTGGGCCGGCGCCCCCTCCGCTGCGCTCGGCGGGGCCGCGTCCCGCCGCTGCGGGGCGATGGGCGGTGGCGGCGGGCGCCGCTAGGCCGCCGCGGGCAGGGCGGCGGCGGAGGCGGGAGGAGGCGGAGGAGGCGGCGGCCGGGGGCGGGCTGGGTCCCTCCCCGGGAAGATGAGGCGGAGGCCCGGTCTGCCGAACGGGTTGAGCTGGGGCTCTTCCCTCCCAGCCGCCAGGACAAGATGGCAGCGGCCGAGGCGGCGGCGGCAGCAGCGAGAGCAGCAGGAGCGGCGGGGCTGAGCGGCTGAGCCCGCCCGGAGCGGCGCTTCCCCGGGGCGCTCCCGGACATGCCCAGGGCGGCGGCGGCGGCGGCAGCAGCTCCAGCGCGGACGCCAGCGCGGCCCGACCCGTGAAGGTGAGCGGCGGGCAGCGAGCGGGGCCGGCCCCGCCGCAGCGGGCGGGCAGCGGCGCTGCCTCCGCCGCCGGCGATCGCCCCCTTCCCATGGGGGCTCCGCGGCGCTCCCGGCCCCTCTGCCCGGAGCCTCCCCCGCCCTCGCCCAGCCCGGCTAGCATCGCTCCTTCTCCCCGTGGCCTTCGTCCCTGAAGTTTCCCCTTTCCCCCGAGCCCGCCCCGAGCAGCCCCGGGTGCCGGGCGAGGCCGCCGCCCGGCGGGGGAGGCGTGTCCGCCCCTCGCCCGCTGCCGGCGGCGGCGCTGCCCCCGCTCCCTTCCCTGCCCTGCCCTTCCCTTCCCCTGGCGGGCGCTGCCCCGGCACTGCCCCGCTCCCCTCCCGGGAGCCGCCTCCTCCTCCTCCTCCTCCTCCTCCTGCCTTGTATGGCCCGGCCGGCGGGGGGTCCCGCGGGTGGTGCCCGGGCGCGGCTCCGCCCGCTCTCGGGTCCTGCTCGGCTTTCGCAGCCGCGCTGGCTCCGCGGGACTCCCGGCGGGACTCGCCCCTCGCCCTGACCCCGGAGGAGACACCCGCGGGACCCCCTCCTGCGCCGTGGGGGGAGCCGGGGCGGCAAATGGTGCCCAGGGCCGGGGTAAAAAGCAGCAACTGGAAAGGAAGCGGACGCTTTAAAATTTGGTCAGTTCCCAAGAGCGAGCTCCGTGAAAAAAACAGAGGGGTTTTATTGCTGGAGGCTTTGCCGTAATGGTTGCGGCAGCGACTGTGCGGGGTTTGTTCTGGATTCGTCGTGATAGCAATTGTAAAGCTGGCAGGTGCGTTTGCATGTGCTTACCGCTGTAGGAGATAGTGAGAGGGGGTTTAAAATTCTTTTTATTTTAATTAAGCCCTCCGTCGGCAGTGCTGTGTGCTTACGTGTATATAAATACCTTCCTCTTGAGGCTGTACTTTTGTTACTAACTGTTGCGTCCAACTTGAAATGTCAGAAACTGCAATCGTTTATTTTTTTTTTTGTAAACTTAGTTGTTTTGAGACTCCCAGGCGTGCCTTCTCAGAAATTATGTGGTGCTCTGATGTTTTTACATCTCCCTGCTACTGTATAACCCTGTTTATTTCGGTTTTATTATCTTTAAACTGTCTCTTATGATAATAACATATTTTCCTACAATTACATCAAGTAAAGCTGCTGTTGTTGATATCTATGCATGTTTCTGTGGTTGTTTTTCCCACCCCCCCCAGTATTACCTCCCATTACATCATTTGCAGAAAGTTGAAGCTCTGATTGATTTCACACAAAGTAGAAAAGCCTAGCTGGACCATGAATACTTACTCTCTGATATAATGCCTCCAGTAACGGAGTTAATTTGCTAAAGATTCCAATAAACCGAGTTTAAAATAACACACAGTAACTGTCTAACAAGCGTGGCAGCCAGCAAAGAGATTAATTAAGCACCTGGAAAATAGGTCAATACTGTATTACGAAGTGGCAGGGTGAGATCGCAGATAAATAGAGCGAAGTGTTAACGTGGACTTACCGGGAGAAAACTGATACCGATAGAGCAGCGGTGACGGCTTTATCTCTGCTGCCGCGGACCATTTATGGTAGCGGCGCGGCGAGGTGATGTTTACGGTCGTGTAAAACGGGAATTAGGCAAGAGTTTTCACCTAATGCACTTGTTACCGGGCACTTCTGTTGTACTGCGAGTTGTGCTGCTTGCTCGGGGTGTGGCACCGGGTTGTGCTTGTGAATTATTTTTTTTTTTCATGGATGCGTTTGGCTGGATGCTCTTAATTCCGATTGTGGTGGTGGTGGTGGCGGCGTGTGGCTCTCCGGGCTTGAGGACAATTTGTAATTGGACGGATTCCATCGGCTGGAATAAAGTTTCATTGAAAAATTGCTCGGGAAGCTGCCCGTGACCTGGGGCTCTCTGCCGGTGCTCGTGAATCTTCTTTGTTTCGGGTTTTTCGTGTCTGCGTGCTTCCTCCCTCCTTGTCTTTCAAACAACTACCCACATAAACAGGGAAATGAGACCGGCTCTGCATCACGAGATAGCAGAGACAAAGGCAGGGTGTGGGGAAGAAGAGCGAGCCTGCAACCCACTCATCTCACAGAGCTAACTCGTACAAATGTTGGAGTTCGCACGTGCTGCTTTTCTTGTTGTGCCCTCCAGTTGGTAGCAGTTGCTTCAAAACAAACCTCGTTTTGGGGGTGATTCTTCCGAAGGCATCTGTCGGACTGATTGCATCTGTTACAGGGGATGGGAGGCTGAGCAGCGCTTCTGGAGGCAGAGGGTTGGCTCGCCAGCTCCTGGGTGGAACAGAATCAACTGTGCTTGCTTAGTTCTTGTGCAAAGCCCAGTCTGAAGGTGTAGGAAATGTCAGGTGGTGTTTCTCTGAGTGTTTAGGTATGTACCTCTCTGTACTATTGTAAGGGATTGCACGCTTCCTGTTTCTTAGAATAGCTCTCTTTTTAGCGGTGCATATTCTCTTTCTTGTATTTTCCATTTTGCCAGCACGCTGATCATGGCAACAAAGGCCCTTTTGACAAAGCAGTAGCTTATTGAAACGGGAATTTTGTAGTTGGCTTTCTTACGTGTTTGTGTGTGGGGGAAGAACAGCACTACCAACAGGAACAGTCCTTTCGTTTGGGGCCAAATTGGAGGAGTATTTGTATTTTGGAGGAACGTTAAATACAGGTGGAGAAACTCCTTTTAGTTGAGCTGAATTTTGGCACTGCAGTGTGAGGTCTGAGTGCTGTGCACGTACAGAGGAGTTACTGTGGGCAGTGTCACTTTCTGCCCAGAATTCTGGGGAATAAAGCGGAGCACAGCTATACTTTTTTTTTAATTTTTTTTTTAATTAGTTAAGCCTTAGCTTCTCTGGATATATATAATGATATCATCCGATGTGCAGGAGCATTACAGCTGAGGCAGACTGCTCTGTCAACTGACAGAAGTATGAGTTGGACAGAGCAGACCTGGGAAGAAGAAACACGGAGATAGAGTGGTGGTGATACCAATATTTACCTGTTACGAGTCTGCTGTCGAATTTTGTGAAATGGCATCCACCTTTCAGACCTCCAAAAAGCTTGTGGGTGTGCCACTTTTGTGTTTTCTGAGTTCTCTTCAGTTCCCTGATGATGTTACTCAGGGCAGTCAGAGGAGACGTTCAGAAGTCTTGGCATGGGATTGATCTGATGAAGAAAACATCCTTAGTACTTCTTCACTGTAACTGTGATGCCCCTGTAGATGTGTTACGTAAACTCACAGCTGCTCTAACTATTAAATTCTCCTGCCTTTGAAAAGTGGGGAAATAGGAGTTCAGCTTGATGCTGGGTGGCTTTTACTAAGCTAATGTCTCTGTTTCTAAGTCACTGAAATATTATATTTTTTCAGGTCTCTTTAAGTGACAGTCAGGGCTGGAGTGGAAAATAATGTATTACTTTCAATAGGTCTTGGAAGAAAAGCTTATTTTCTGGATAAGTGTGAGATGGGTCTCTAGGTATCTCAAGGCCTGTCTCAGAGTGTTTCAGAACTCTGGCTGGGTCAAGCACAGAACCCAATGTGAGGAAGTGAGCACTGAGCATGTTAGAGGTGGCTGAGTGTGCAGTGCACCTGAAGTGACCACGGTAACTCGATTTAAACAACTTTAAATAGCTAGTCCTGTCATATGGGTTAGTAATGGGTTACCTTTTCTGACTTGTACAGGCAGTGAACGCCCTCTTTTTGACCTGAAATAACCTATAATGAAGGATAAAGCCTAGAAAATCCTGTTACCTGTTCTCGGCTTCCCCTGCCCTCCTAAAGACGGTTTTAATTTAGAGCTTCTACCTCTTCAACAGATTTCTAGAGAAACCACAACTCTGTTTTTCTTCAGAGACACCAAGCTTTGGGTGACAGGTGAGCAGGGGAACAACATGGTGTTATGAAAGTGGATTTTTGTTGGTGACTTTATTTGATAGTGTAGCATTTCCTACTGGATTGTTTCCCTCCCCCCTTAATTCTTCAGTATAGTGAATGTTGAAAAAGATGGCAAGAGTTGGTGTGAGCCTTGGTTTTAGATGCAGTTTGGGGATAGTCTTTGTACAGCTTTGTAGTGTTTTTTCACATTCTGTCACCTTTTTTTTCCCCATATAGTGTCTTAATATTCCATTTAATTTTTGAGAGCGGGTAACTTTCTGAAAAATGGGTGTTGATCTCCAGCATAGCAGTTGTGCTTGGAAAAGGAAGAAGAGCCAAATAACTGAACTGTTTTTTAAGCAAGTCAACTAATGTAGTTTAGTTCTGTTATTTTTCTTTTGCTGTGACTTGGAGCTGTGTAATTTCAAAATACCTCTCCATATATTATTAACTATACATATTTTTTAGGTCCACTACTATGTAAACTTTTTGTGCAGTCTTTTTCACCTCATGTTTTCAGAAAAAGATTAGAAAATATTCCTTTTTGTAAACATTCCTGCTTTTCCCTTTTCTCCAGCTCTCTTGTGCTCTACAATATTTGGGTATAATAAGATGAAGCCCAGGAAAATGTTAAGTTCAAGTTTCAAAACACAGCAATAAAATAAGATGCAGTGAAATATCAAAGGACAAAAGAGACATAACAAATAAATTCCTATCTTTTAGTATGATCAAAGCCACAGCAACCCTCAATATTAAAAAAGTAATTGGATTCTTATGTACAGAGTACTATTACTAAATGTTGTGAAGGACACTCCCGTCAAAAAACTGTCTTCAAAATCAATAATCTTAAACTCATATGACTCTTTCCACAGTTGCTAAAACAATTTAACAGTTGTAGAAAACTTTTTAGTGCTTTTAAAAAGCATGCTCCAAGTTAAATACGAACAGTGCCTTTAATGTAAAAAGTCAGTGATTGTTAAATGAAAATCTCTTTGTGTTCGTATAAACATCACCTGCTGAATATGTACAGCACCTCAGTAACCACCCCTTTAGAATGAGCGGTGGAAAATTTAGGGACAGGAAAGCTCAGGTCCTAAATACCTGTGCAGAGTCCCATGAACATCCTCGGTAGAAGAGGAGGATGTAGCTGCTGGTTGGAGGTGCCCACGGTCACTCCCCGTGTCTGTGGGAAACCACTCTGTAATCCACAGATCTGAGAGTGTCTCGCCCTCCTCTGTTCCCGAGGCTTTAGGTTACCGGGCTGTGCCGTCCTGGAGCTGATTGTTATGTGACCGGGACACTTTAACTCCCAAGGAACTTAAATTGCTGGGTGAGGCAAGATTTTTATCGCAAAGCTTGGCTTGGCTGTTGCCTGGGGGCAAGCTGCGACCAGCACCCGAGAAAAACTTGCTTTGGGTCGTTTTAGGAGTTTACTTTGGTTTTACTTGAACTGAGAGATGAAAGTGGGTCTCCTCACCTCGCAGTGAGATGTCCAAACTGGTCCCTGGGCAGGGAGAATTGCCAGGAGAACAACTTCAAGCTGGCATTGTGATAACCGGTGGTGCAGCTGTGCTCCGTGTGGGGCTGCAGCATCCTCATCGCAGGGGTGTTTGCTGCTTTTGCGAGTGTGACCAGATCTCCCCAGGCCTGCTCCCTCTGGTCCGTGGATGTCAGCTGACATCTGAACCTTTCCCTGCTCCTGCTGGAATAGGCTGAAGTGCCTGCCCACGGAAAGGACCAAGTGTAGGCTTGAGGTCTGCGTGAGAAAGCTCACCTAGAAAGGCCTAAGTGCAGAGTGAAAACAAATTTCAGTACCAGTAAGTGTTAAAAAAAATTGCTGTATTCATATTTCCCACAAATATCAGAAGCTAACTCTTGTGGTACCAATATGACTGCAATCATAGCTAAAGAGGTAAATGAAACAATGCTTCAAGCAAACAAACTTTTCTTACTGTTGATCTAAGCTCCCTTTGAAAGGTAAGAGTAACCCCTAGTATCACATATTCATAAATATTATCTATCTGAAACTTGATTTATTTGCTTTTACAGAAGTAATTTACTTTTTCATATGTAGATACAACCCCATATTTCTTCTGTTATGTTTCCAGTCTCAGTGTGCTGTTTACTACCTTGTTTTGGTCCTTTGTCAGTGTTTTTTAAAAAATGGTGTTAATCTTTACCTAATTCCACTAGTTTGAGTAAAATATATTCTTTTCCCCCACCCCTCTTCTGTATGAGGTCTGTATTGGCACACAACAATTGGTGGAACTTACACAACTTCCAGAAACCTTTTTAGTTGTTTCTTGTAAGATGTCTTTCTGCCTTTTTGACTGAAATGCTGTTAATGTGCATTATTGTCTTGTAAACATCTTCCTTCCTGAGTTTTCCTGCAAACTTTGGTCATCTGCTACTTCCCGCCCTTTTCCTTTCAATTATTCTTTTTTCCCTCTTTCTTTTTTCTTTTAAAAAAACCCACAACTATTAGAATTGGTTGCTTGTCTACACTGTCTGTCTGTTCCAGTCGAGAAGTTTCTTTTTCACATCTTGCTTTTGAAGATTTAAAACTATTTACAGGAATAGAAGAGGTTCTCACAAGATCTTTATTTTTTCAGTATTTGAATCTGTTAAGTGCAGGAATTTTGGTGTTTGGGATCTTACTTATGGAGCCCTTGAGAAGGAAGCAGCTTTGCTCCTAAGAGGAGGGGAAAAAAAAAAAAAATCTCCTTGCCTCCTCTTTCCTGGTCTGTTAATATCAACTTACTTTGTGATTGATGAAATTATTTGGTA